TTTTTTCTTCTAGTCACCTTTGTGTATGCACCTGTATATGCATTTGACCATTTCTGAGTCAAATCAAATAAATCTTGATATACAAATTAAAAGATGAAAGAACATTGTCATAAGCCAATTTAAGAAAATAAGATGGTATAGGTCCTGATTGCAAAATATTGCACAGTGAAGGTCATCTGAATGACTAATTAGAGTATCATAGTTCCTTTTTGTTTATTCCTTGATTTTTCAGTTGAGGAAATTTACCCATCCAAAAGATGTAAGTCATTCTGAGGGTATAACAGTTAAACAACACTTGGCTGCTAACCAAAAGGTTGGCACTTAGAACCTACTGGGTGGCTCCTCCGGAGAAAGATCTGGTGATTTGCTTCTGTGAAGATTACAGCCAGGAAACCCCTGTGGGGTAGTTCTTTGTCTAATAGGGTGCTCTGACTTGGAATGGACCCACTGGCTCCCAACCACAAAAACAAGACTCACAGTCCAGCATTTTGCTGTTTCTACAGTGCTCATCACTCGAGCACTGCTGTTTCTTTTTGCCGTCATCTCCAGGCTCCTGTAATCTTTCCCTGTAACTTGCCTTCACTTTCCCATTGTGGGCAGAGGGAAAATCTAAAATTTTCACCATAGTCAATGAAAATTAAAAAGAATATGACAAAGATTATGCCACCTAGAATTCTTTTATACTTTCTCAAAGTTTAATACCTTTGTTGGGACAACACAATAGGAAAAATCAATAATAGTGCAGCAGTGGTGATATATTTATTTATTTTTAAGAAATTCCATAATTTTTTGTTAATACTTGTCATTTTTAACAATTGAGAATAATACCTGGTGATGAAGTAGCAAAATGTTTCAAGATGTAGGGAAAAATAAAATTATTTGGACCCCCCGACAGTATCACTGTGGGTCAAAATTGACTCCATGACCATGGGTAGGCTAGGGTACCATAATATGTCTTGGATTTATCAATGATCAATGTGCCTCCCTGGATGGGGGTGGGGCTTAAATCATCCAGGGGACTGCAAAAACAGTACCGATGCTATAGGTCAAAAGTTTGTAATTACCAGGGGAAACTGAGGTTTTTATTTCTTTTCTGAAAAGGGGGTGGGTATAACTGATTGCGACTCATAGGGGCACAATAGGTCAGAGTAGAGCTACTCCAAAAGATTTCAAGACTGTAATCATTACAGTAACATCCAGCCTCATTTCTCTCCTGTGGACCTAGGCTCTGAACTACTGACCTAATGCTTAGCAGCCCAAAGCCTTCAAAAGCCTACTAATTTGCACTTTGAAACCTCTGCATCCCAAATTTATCTCATTGCTCTCGAGTCTATTCTGACTCTTAGTGACCCTGTAGGACAGGATAGAACTGCCCTTCTGAGTTTCTGAAATTGAAAGTGTTTATGGGAGTAGAAAGCCCCATCTTTTCTCCTGATGGCTGGCTGATGGTTTTGAACTGCCAACCTTGAGGATTGCAGCCCAATTCATAACCACTATGTCAAAGTCCTGCCTTAGAGGGTTATTATGGTAGTTTAATGCACTAACAGAAACTGTAAGGCCCTGGAGGGGTAGAACTCCATAGATTCTAGAGAGTCGTCTTTGCTTTATGTGTCTGTGAAGGTATAAACAATGAATACATTATGTTAAGGAAATTCGTTGTAAACTATAACATGCTTTTCAGTGATAGCATTATTCTGCTTGTGCTTAATGCAGTTTTAATTAAGTCTATACAAAATCAAGATTTTTCATTTAATCAGAAGGTACTAGTGGCACCTTCTTATTTGGGAACCAAAAGGGCGATTTTGAACCCACCAGCTGCTCTGCAGGAGACGGAAGAGGCAGTCTGTTCTGTAGAGATTTACAGCCTCACAAACCTATGGGTAGTTTGACTGCCCTCTAGGGCCTCTCTGCCTGGGAATCTACTAGATGGTAGTGGGTTTGGTTTCACAAGCGTATCCTTCCACACAGCCTCATTGCCTCATCCATCCAAGGAAAATGGTGACAAAGGAAAGCTGTGGGACATTGATATTTAAACTGTAGCTCGGAACTTATTTAGCTTTGTCAATGATTATTAAAACAATTTGCCATTGTCTTTTTCCTAAAGTGGCTGCCTGACTGGTTCATAAATTCAGACATTTTCATTGTATCACAAATTGTAAAGTAAAATATATTTGTATTCTTTGAGCGCATAGATCAAAACTAATTGTTTTTTCTCTATCAACAAAAATTCAAAAATCTATTTACCTATCTGTTCTATACTGCTTTAATTCAGTTATTTCAAATCATTATACAGTTTCTTTAACCAGTATCCTCTTCAGTATTATTTTAATGTGATCTTCATTTCATATATAAGGAAATCAAGGGCCTTAAGAAATCCCAGAGAAATGCATTACAAAGTGGAAGATATCTAACTTGATTTACACATGTAAGTTGTTTAACTCACGAGTTAATATAGACAGAGTAATTGCCTAGTTCAAGATCTGGCTATAAATTAAGTGACTGCTTATCTCAGTACCCTCCATGCTCCCCTCAGAAGTCACTCTTGCTTTGGAAGGGAAACTAGAATCTACAGCCTGAGGACCATCAGCTTGATCCATGATTTCACCCTTGTAGATAGTGTTTGGACTATCACCGTGCTGTCAGCCTCACTGTGTGGTGTTTTGTTCATGAAACCCTCTCCTGCCCTCTCATTGGATGAGAACTAATACTCTGAGTGGCTTTGAACTGAAAATAGCATAGAGGAAATTTCTAAATTGGGACTGAGGTATGACTGGGTACTATTAAAGGTCTCATGCAGCTCTTGAAAATCTATGCTTTTATATAGCGTCTGGGGTCTTGAAAGTTTGAAGGTAAATAAGTGGCCATCTAGCTCAGAAGCAACAAAGCCCACATGGAAGAACACATCAGCCTGTGTGATCACGAGGTGCCAAAGGAATCATTTATCTGGCATCAGAGAACAAAAAATCATATCATTGTGTGCTCACCTCCATGATACAATCACTGAAGACAA